ATTTAGGACCACATCCGGAAAATCATCCCAAGCACCCAGGAAAGTATCAAAACAATGCCGAACAGGCATCGCCTCCCAGGGCACGGCACGTGAAAACCCTTTGGTGCTGGTACGTTCTTGGTGCTCGCGGTTATTTCGGGCGATCAAAGCTAAAGCAGGAGGAGGGGGAGGAGGAGGAGGGGGAGGAGGAGGAGGAGGAGGAGGAGGGAGGAGGAGGAGGAGGAGGAGGGGGGGGGGAGGAGGAGGAGGAGGCGGAGGAGGAGGAGGAGGAGGAGGAGGAGGAGGAGCAGGTTAGAACATCATAACGCTAGGCCCAACTTCCAGACCGCAGCGCGGGCCCCGCGCTCCGGGCCAGGCTGCCTGCCAGAGCACCCCCGCCGAGCCCGAAGGCCCGAGTTTTCGGGCTGCGGGGGCTGTGTTTTTTCGATGCTCCCCGCGCCCCTCCCCCGAGGGGAGGGGGCCAGGAGGAGGGAGACGGAGGAGGAGGAGGAGGAGGGAGACGGAGGAGGATGAGGAGGAGGAGGGAGACGGAGGAGGAGGAGGAGGAGGAGGGCAAAGCAAACTGACTGGGGCCTTCGGGTTGGGTTGGGGTGGTTTTGGTGGGCTGTGTGAGCCAGGCCCGACTTCCAGACCGCAGCTCGGGCCCTGCGTTCCATGACGTCCTCGCTCTGCTCCACCCGCTGGAAAGTGCCCCCGCTGTCCCGCTGTCCCAGGGCTGCCGGATTCGGCAAAACGGGCAAAGGATCAAGCACGTGCATGGCAGGTTCGTGTCGTGAGGACGTAGCGCGCTGGTCTCTGACACCGCGTGGATCGTCCTGACCGATCGCGGCTTTCCGAAAGCGCAGACTGTTCGATACCAGCGAATTCTAGACTACTGGCGGCAGTCAACATTGAACGCCCACGCTGGGGTCGCCCACGCGTCCACGCGGCGGGAACCTACCATACTTAACCCCTCTGCGAGGCATAAACTCCCTGTCGACTCGGCTGCATTTCTGGCTAAGGTGAGTTGTAGCCGAACTCGCGCTGACGGGAAGAGCCGCGAAATTCTCACTGGCATCGCAACCAAATCAGTGGCGGAAGGTCCTTCGGCTCCCTCCAAGGTCGCTCTCCAACAATCCCACCATCGTCTACTATCAACTCCGCTCCTAAAATCTGGACCTGCCTAATCTCAAGAGTCCAGTCCAAACCCCCGCGACCGGTTCCGCCACCCCTTCAAGTTCGACCACCTCTTTCAGTGCCACTTCTTGCGGCCAAAGTCGAACCCGACCCCTGGCGACGCGAGGGGGCCAGATAACGTGTGCCGCTGTTGGAGAAGCATACCATGAAATGGTAATAAAAACTTGGATGTTCGCGCGGATTTCTCGGATCGGCCTGGATCTCTGGCGCGCGGAGCGTGCCAGGGGCGGCGCCCGAGACGCCGCCGAAGTGGCTCCAACGCCAATCCGTAACATCCGCGCGGACCTCCGGATTCTTGCGTTTATGTCACTGTGTGTTCCCCTACAGTCGGACTGCTGAATACGAAACCCTTGTCGTTGGGAAGGGACTCAGTGTTCCTTAATTGTTTTGTTTTTTTTGTTTTCAGGTGTTCCTTCGGTTTTTAATGGGAAATCTAAGCTTAACTCATGGAAAAAAGGTGGCCTCGTTCCGTATTCAAGGTTCTTTGCGACAGCGTTTCGACTGTAGCTGTCCCAGGGACCGTCCTCACCTCACCCTTCCTGGACGAACCCCGAGGACGGCGAGGCGGATGGCTGCCGCGGGCCTGGAGGTGCTTGACGATGTCTGCCCTGCTGTAGCCCTCCTGGGCCCGCGCGCGTGAGGAGGCCGGAGCCGCGACGAGAGCGCAGCAGAGGCAGGGGGAGGGAATGGAAAATAGCTACTCCACTCTCCACTGTCCCTCCTCCTCCTCCTCCTCCTCCTCCTCCTCCTCCTCCGCTTCCTCCTCCTCCCTCCTCCTCCTCCTCCTCCTCCTCCTCATCCTCCTCTCCTCTCTCTGCTCCTTTCTCCCCCTCTCTCCTCCTCCTCCCTCCTCCTCCTCCTCCTCCTCCTCCTCCTCCTCCTCATCATCATCATCATTCATCATCATGATCCTCCTCCTCCTCCTCCTCCTCCTCCTCCTCCTCCCCATTCCTCCTCCTTTTCCTCCTCCTCCTGTTTCCTGTTTCCTGATGGTCTGAGCGATCCACACTCGCGGTCTCTTCTTCTTCTTCTTCTTCCTCCTCCTCCTCGCTGCCAACGGGTTGCCCTCACGTCCGAGGCCTTTCGCCCCTGCCGTGAGGCCTTTGTTCCGCGTCGGCCCGCCATGGTCGTCCAGCGCCCGTGACGTCGGCCTTGATGCGGGCACCAACTACAAGAGGTCCTAACTCGTGCTAAGATTTGCCTCGGTTGGCTAGGACTTTCTTGACTTTGATGTTATCCGGTCGTGACATATATTGCCTCCTCCTCCAACTGCCTGTCTGGATCTCCAACCCGGCCCAATCCTGTAGAACCCCTTCGCTCTGCGTGGCGGGGTCGCTGGAAGACTTGGCACCCCTGTCTACGCAGATGGCATGGGGCTGGATATATTCGAGACACTTGTCAAGATATCTCGATGTATCCCTTAGCTTGGCGTTCTTACCCATGCAGGTGCGAAGTCTCTTTTGCGTCTTCTGCTCGGCATCCCCCTCTCCTTCTCCATGTGTCAAATCTTCCAGCAGGGAAAGGATTGGCGCAAGAGCGTTCCCTTCTCGTTCGTCTTCGGGTTTCTCGGGCTCCGTCTCTGGGCACTCGACGCTGATCGCCCTTCGCGACATTTCCTGCAGCTCCGCGGCTGATCCCTTGCCGTAGAAGACAGGATGGTTCTGACCGATCAGGTAATCAAAAAGACGTATCATAACGTGAGGCCGCACGCGCACACACCTGCTCCAGGTGCTACTCCATGCCCGCCCCACCCCGGCCGCTTGCAGGTGCACTCGCAAGGCGTAATTCAATTGCCGAAGCGGGTACGTCAAGAACTCCTTGTCCTCCATATTCTTCCTCAGCGATTCGACGACGTCGCCCACGGGCGTGCAAAAGCTGACGCAGCCGCCTCTGACAACCGTCCACTTCCTCTGGTTCTGCATGTTTTCGTTCATGAGATGCCCGTGATCATCATCGACGTAATAAACCAGGATGTTTGTCCAGCGCGGCTGCACAATGGCAGCCCCCAGCCATCGGACCTTGCTTCGCGCAGTGATGTCCGAAGTGTATCCCGCGAAATTGTCGCTCGTTAGATCCATTGGGATTCTGCGGTCATACTCCTCGCTCATGGATTTCCACTAGCAGTCCGTGCGTAGTCGGAATCTGGCAGCTGCGGCAGAACGCGCGCGCCTGCGTGCGGGCCCCAGAGTGGCATCTCCGGGACAGCGCAAGATGCGTTTGGACTCTCCGCCCGGCAGCCGCAGGACCCGCTGCCATTCGTAGTTGCCCTCGTCGAAGTGAGTGGCACTCAGGAATGGATCCATGCCGTTGCCGGGGCGGTCTTGAGCACGCCGCTGTTCGAGGGTATTCATTCCGAAGTTACCGTTCACAAGCACGGGGTGTTCTTCGCGCATCCGCCACAAGCTTAGTTCCGCGCCCATCGCGCGAAAACCCGTGCGCGCAATGAAAAACCGCCAAATTTGTTTTCAGCCAGTGTCAGAGCATTCGCACGCGCACTCCCTGTTCTTCACGTGCGTGCGTATTTGGGCGCAGCACAGGCACATGTAGCTCTTGATGTCGTCGCTGCGAACGGCCTCGGCCACCTGCGACTGCTGGCGCCTGTCCATGGACGGCCCGATGCAAGGGGGGCCCTGTTGCGCGCTTCTCCGCGGCTTTGAAGAAGCGCGCCGCGGCGTCCAGACTGTCGCCCGCGATTCGCTGCCACTCCGCCCTCCTCGGGGGGGGGGGGCCAGCGCGATTAACCGGATCCCCCTCGCGCCCGGGGGCGCCCAAATCCGCTCGCGCTTCCCGCCCGCATTCGTTCCCCGAGCTGTCGCGCGAACGTTTCGGGGGGCACCTTTTGCAATGTAACCCCGCGGGCAACGCAGCCGATGAGATTCCTCGATGTCTTCTGGGCCGCCCGTTCTCCGAACGACGCCCCGACGCTTCAAGACCAGAAACAATGCGAAAGCGGCCCCTTTGGATGATGGGAACGACAACGTATCAGACGGACGCACGCACTGACCAAGGCTACCTACAAAACGCAACGCACAGGTTTCACGGACACCTGCGAGCCAGCACGAAAACATTCGCTTTACAGGGAAAGGAGCCACATCAATCGCACAGATCCCCCGGGCCCTGCAATGTTCATCTGGCGCAGGCCAGGCCTCCTCTGGGACGAGCGCCGCCTCGATCGTTCTGCGCTTCTCTGCCAAGCGCGCACAGGGGGCGCCCCCTCTCCATGCGTCGCGTCAACGGGCCATTGCACGTCCAGCGGCGCACCTTGAATCCGCAGTGCAACTTGGGCGTTTCACAGCCGCCGTGCATCTCCAGCCGCCCCCGATCTGTCGCCGCGTCTCCGAGTACTTTGTCTCCGGGGGCATACTCACCGTCTGGGGGGGGCATCGAGCGATCCCGACGGTGGGGAGCGAAGGTGTCTGCGGTGGCCATATATTATATATGCCCTCGTCGGCGCGCGGTGCCCCGACGCCCATTGCTTTCGCGTGGATCAAGCCCAGATCGTCGCTAACGTCGCTGAAGTCGTCGACGCCATCGCCCTCCCCGCCGCCCTGGAGGTCGTCCTCGCCGCCCTCGCCCACGCGAACTACCTCGGCTCGCGAGCCTGACGTCGCCGGTGCATCAGCGACAACTGGCGCGCCCCCAGCTTCTCCCACGTCCTCTGCCCCCTGGGGCAGCGAAGCGGCATCTCCGCCCGACGGCCCCGCGCCTTCTGTCACTGGCCCTCGTAACTGGCCGTGTTGCATGAAGCGAGACTCTTCGCCGCCGCCAGATCCCTCGCACTCGCACTGGGGTCCCGATCCGTTCCCGCTCGCGCAGCCGTCGCCTCAGCCCGCAAAGCCTTCGCGAAGCACAGGGCGCTCTGCTCTCTGCTCCATCTCGCCTGTCGCCTGGAATAAGAGCGCCTCGTCGATGCCGCCGTAGCTTCTAGTCATCTCACCCGCCCGCTGCACAGCGCGATCCAGCGCGCGCAATTCTGATCCATTCCAGCAGCCCGTCTCGCGCCGCGCACTCGCCTCTGCTGGGCAGGCTCAGCAGCGCAACCACCTCCGCCTCGCAATCGCCCTCGATATCTCCCGGCTCTCTGGCGCCCCCTAGCGCCTGGCCGAACGCTGCGACGCCGAGCGCAGAGGAACGCGCGCGCGGACGTGGCCCTCGAGCGCGCGAGTCATCTCCGCGGCGCGCTCCTCGGAGCAGTGCGACACCTTAGCGTGCAATCCACCCATCCTTCTTCTTCTTCGCGCGATTCGCGCGGCATCCTAACAGTCGCCCTGCAGCCGCGACGCGACGCCGAGCGCTGAAGCTCAAATGCCGACAACCAGCATCCGCCCTCGCGCAATGCACCTCGCAGAGCACGCCATGCCGCCTGAGGGGTGAGCGACTGCGGCGGTGCCTGAAAGAAGACCACGGCCGCGCATTGCACAAAGAGCGCGATGTTGCCACGACGGCGCCGAGAAGCGCCCTCGCTTCCGCAAAATGGTTCTCGCTGCGGAGGTGGTCAAAATCATGTATGACGGTGCCCCTGGCGTCGGGATCTCCCGCGTGAAAGAACCGCACCTCATGCGACCAGGCCTCTGGGAACAGGGCGGCGTGCCTCGTCAGTCCAAGCCAGCTGGAAGCAGGTCGCAGGATCTGGAGATCGCGTTCGCCCCCTTCTTTGGCCGCGTAGCGAACGTCGTCGGACGACTAGCTCAGGGTGCCCACGTCGTCCTCGGCGCTGATGTAGCCCATTGTCTCTGCTAGAGGTCGCACGAACTCCCGCTCGTTCGCCCCGGTGAATAAAAACCTTGGGCGACGCATTCGGAATCGCTCTCGGCGGCTATCGCGGCCTCTTCAGCGCTCTTCCTTTGCCTGGCATAGGCCAGAGCACCTTCCCGAACAGCTCGCGGCAAGTGCTTTCGGAAATACTGCCCCCCCCCGATCGCCGCTGTCTACCTTCACAGCGCCATCATATGCCGAGCGAAATCAATTCTGCAACATGGCGCGGATGAAAAAGTGGAGCCCTGGCCCCCAGATCAGCAAACTCGACCGGCGAACTCTGCAGCACTAGTTGGCGAACACTTGCGACATAAAGCTCGACGGAACCATCTGAGCCGAGAACTAGTTCTCCCCTGACGGCATGAGCCCCGCAAGCTCCGCTGCCGCTGGTTTTCAATATGTAGCATGCTGGGCCGCCGAGAACATGTCGGGAATGTTCTTCTTCCCGCGGACAGGCCGCCCACGTCGTCGGCAACGAAGCGCGCATCCCCGCGGCCCCCGCGCGATGGCGCTCTGCGCCAGACAGCGTCGCAGCGCCGCCAGTTTCATCCAGCGCCGCAGCCGCAGCGACGACCGCGACGCCTTCGAGACAGTCGTCGACGCACTCATGGGCGCCCAAACAGGGCGACCCAAAAGTGGGCGAGCTGGGCATAGCCCTGGCCTGTCTCGGAATCGATTTGGAGGGTTAGCCACTCGAAAAAGCTCGAGCCCCAATGCACCTACGGACAGACATGATGCCAGCAAGTTCACGAGCATTGCACGTCAACGAAATGCTCTCGCCAACGAGGCGTTACCATTTAAACTATCCAACAGGCGGCCCTCGAAAAGCGCATGGACGACGTCGGGGAACCAACGGCAATGACATGTTCAACGTCAGACGAGCCGGCTGCAATAGGAGAGCAATGCGGTCCCGCATGTGTTCCAATAGCATGTAAACGCAAAGCCCCCGACGCCCCCAACACGGCCCTGGGAGGTCCACTGAGTCCGAAACTGCCCGACTCTATGTTGGGTGGGCACAAAGCCTGTCCAGGGATGCCCCAAGATCGGCGAGATAAACAAGATCGGCGTGCTCATTGAACTCATTATCACTCACATGTTCCCCGAAGCCTGTCCAGACAAGCTCGGGGAACGCAGTGTCCAGTATCCAAGCGCCGATTCCCCGAAAGATTTCAGCAACGGCTCGGGGAACGACTGGTCCGATAGCTCGCGTCCCAAAATGTACCGCAAGGTCTGACCGCAGAGGCCCTCATGACGCAGCGAAGGGCAGATGGAGTTTTCAGGTAAGACACAACATCCCTCTGAACAACAACATCAGTAGCCGTACAGCACAATTCTGCTGTCGAGACCTTTCAAAAATCTTTCATTTTTTATGGCCGCTCGTTGTGTAAGGCGACCCCAACTACTGTTCAAGGAGGCCCTCTCAAGTACGGTGACTGAGACCAGATCAAAATCCTGACTGCAGTCATTCTCACTCTCGTGTTCCCCGAAAGCTTTCAAACGCAATTCGGGGAACAAACACCCCATTAGACAAGACACGTTGCAATCACAACGTTCCGACATGTAAGCCCTTCCAGAAAAACAGAAGGCCTCCAAGATGGCCCCATGATGGCCAAAGAGGCCCGCAAACTGGCCCCAAAAGGGTGTCAACAGCGACGAAGAGAACATACAAGACCTCAAAGTCCACGAAAGACCCCTCCAAGACGGACAAGATGGCCTCCAAGACGGTCCCAAGACGCCTCCAAGATGTTCCAAGATGCGTCCGAGATGATCCAAGATGCTCCAACGTGGCCGAAGATGGCCTCCAAGATGCGTCCAAGATGATCAAGGTGGCCCCAAGAAGCCCCAATATAGCCCCAACATGGCTTCCAAGACAATCCCAAGATGCCTCCAAATAAAACCCTACAGTAGCCCAAGAGGCTCCCAAGAGGCGTCCTCCTCCCTTCTCCTTTTTCCACCTTGTGGCTGGGCCGCGGCCAGACCAAATGTTCTCCTCTGGCGGCCGGTGGCCCGCGGTGTCCCGCCGGTGTCCCGCTGGTGTCCCGAAATCCTCCTGTGGCTGGGCCGCGGCCGGACCAAATGTTTCTCCTCTGGCGGCTGGTGGCCCGCGGTGTCCCGCCAGTGTCCCGCTGGTTTCCCGACATCCTCCTGTGGCTGGGCCGCGGCCGGACCAAATGTTCTCCTCTGGCGGCCGGTGGTGCGCGGTGTCCCGCCGGTGTCCTGCTGGTGTCCCGGAATCCTCCTGTGGCTGGGCCGCGGCCGGACCAAATGATGCTCCTCCCGTCAAACGGTGGCCCGCGGTGTCCCGACTCACTAGACTCCGCCCCGCAGGCATCGTGAGAACAACAATCACCACTTGTGCCCATGCTGCCCCCCAACCTCTTTATCACCCGCAGAGTGGTCGTATAGGCATATGTATATATATATATATATGACCAAGAATAGATGTGCGTTTGCGTGTGCGTGTGCGTGTGCGTGTGCGTACGCGTGTGCGTGAGCGTGGGCGTGAGCGTGTGCGTGTGCGTGTGCGTGTGCGTGTGCGTGTGCGTGTGCGTGTGCGTGTGCGTGTGCGTGTGCGTGTGCGCGTGTGCGCGTGTGCGCGTGTGCGCGTGTGCGTGTGCGCGTGTGCGCGTGTGCGCGTGTGCGCGTGTGCGCGTGTGCGCGTGTGCGCGCGTGCGCGCGTGCGCGTGTGCGCGTGTGCGCGTGTGCGCGTGTGCGCGTGTGCGCGTGTGCGCGGGTGCGCGTTTGCGCGTGTGCGCGGGTGCGCGGGTGCGCGGGTGCGCGGGTGCGCGGATTCACGGATGCGCGGGTGCGCGGGTGCGCGGGTGCGCGGGTGCGCGGGTGCGCGGGTGCGCGGGTGCGCGGGTGCGCGGGTGCGGGCGTGCGTGCGTGCTGGCGTGCGTGCGTGGCGTGCGTGGCGTGCGTGGCGTGCGTGGCGTGCGTGCGGTGCTTGGCGTGCGTGCTAACGTGCGTGCTGGCGTGCGTGCTGGCGTGCGTGCTGGCGTGCGTGCAAGCGTGCGTGCTGGCGTGCGTGCTGGCGTTCGTGCGTGCGTGCGTGCGTGCGTGCGTGCGTGTGTGCGTGTGTGTGCTTGCGTGCGTGCGTGCGTGTGTGTGCGTGTGTGCGTGTGTGCGTGTGTGCGTGTGTGCGTGTGTGCGTGTGTGCGTGTGTGCGTGTGTGTGCGTGTGTGCGTGTGTGCGTGTGTGCGTGTGTGCGTGTGTGCGTGTGTGCGTGTGTGCGTGTGTGCGTGTGTGCGCGTGTGCGCGTGTGCGCGTGTGCGCGTGTGCGCGTGTGCGCGTGTGCGCGTGTGTGTGCGCGTGTGCGCGTGTGCGCGTGTGCGCGTGTGCGCGTGTGCGCGTGTGCGCGTGTGCGCGTGTGCGCGTGTGCGCGTGTGCGCGTGTGCGCGTGTGCGCGTGTGCGCGTGTGCGCGTGTGCGCGTGTGCGCGTGTGCGCGTGTGCGCGTGTGCGCGTGTGCGCGTGTGCGCGTGTGCGCGTGTGCGCGTGTGCGCGTGTGCGCGTGTGCGCGTGTGCGCGTGTGCGCGTGTGCGCGTGTGCGCGTGTGCGCGTGTGCGCGTGTGCGCGTGTGCGCGTGTGCGCGTGTGCGCGTGTGCGCGTGTGCGCGTGTGCGCGTGTGCGCGTGTGCGCGTGTGCGCGTGTGCGCGTGTGCGCGTGTGCGCGTGTGCGCGTGTGCGCGTGTGCGCGTGTGCGCGTGTGCGCGTGTGCGCGTGTGCGCGTGTGCGCGTGTGCGCGTGTGCGCATGTGCGCGCGTGCGCGCGTGCGCGCGTGCGCGCGTGCGCGCGTGCGCGCGTGCGCGCGTGCGCGCGTGCGCGCTGGCGCGCGTTCGCGCGTGCGCGTGTGTGCGTGTGTGTGTGTGTGTGTATGTGTGTGTGCGCTTTCCTGATCCGTCTCTCTTTTCATCTGCCTCCTCCTCCTCCTCCTCGGCATCTTCAGTGACAGGCCTAGAGGTTGACCCCAACACCAATATCGGCGGTGTGCCTCCACCGAGGGAGGAGGAATCCCGATCTCGGTGATGGCGGTAATATTCTGGCTGCCGAGGTGACCGACATATGACCACCAACACCGAAATCGAGGACCATCTTCCCCCTGTGGAGGCAACCCCCTTGTGTTGGTGCTGGCTCCCATTTCCAGGCCTCCAATTCAACCTCCTCCTCCCCCGCCGCCTCGCCCGGGTCGCGCGCGGAGCGGCGGCCGGGGCAGCTCCTCCTCGTAGTGCGTGAATATCCTGGTCCTGCGCGGGGGGGGAGGGGCGGGGGGCGCCGAGCTCGCGCGCCTGCGGAGGGAAGGCACGGCAGGAGGACTCCCGTTTCCCCAGACATGATCGCGCGGTGACAAGAATTCATCACGACGCGAGGTGGTTGCCCGCTGTCTGCCTCCGGAGCCCCGTGCCCGGCCGCAGGGCACAAAACGACTCAGGATGAAAAACTGGTCCCGGGGAAGGAGGCGGGACTTCCGGTGCCCACGTGCTGAAAAAATCTGGACGTCGCATGTATGGGTCGCCTCATCATAAAAGGAAGTGGGCCCTGAAGGAATCAGGGGCAGGCTGGAAACACTGCGGGCTGTAATCGCTGCGGACAGAGTGTTTCGAGTACGGCAGATTCGTGTCGTGCCCGACTTCGGCGGTGGTCCCTGACACAGCGGGGATCGTTTAACATTGAAAGACTGGCCGTTTCCGAAACGTCAAGTCGTTCAACATCGACCGATTCTGGGTCGCCCACGGCCTTCAACGTTGAACGCCACCAGCGGGGCAGCCGCCGGTCGACACGACGCGAACCTACAGATAGGGACAATCGCGCTCGCGTGCCTTGCAACATCAAACACAAAGGGAGCCCATGCCCCCACCAAAAAAAACAGACCTCATAGTAGCCCCAAAATCGCGTACTACCTAGATGGTACCACATAGATGGCACCACATGGATGGCACCTCATAGATTGCACCGCAAAGATTGCACAACATAGTTTGCACTACGCATTGCACAACATAGAGTGCGCAACATTAAAATGCACAAATAGGTTGCAATCGCACCAACAGATAGTACCGCGAATATTGCAACATATGTTGGACATTATCGATCGCACCATTTAGATTGCACCACGTCGATTGCACCGCATGAGCTGCGCACCACATAGATTGCACAGCATGGAGTTCACCACATCGCTCGCACCACATATGTTGCACCACTTTCATTGAATCGCATAAACTGAACAACATATATGGCACAACACAGATTGGACAGCTCAGATTGCACCACCTCTAGTCCACAACATACATTGCTTCACACCTACTGCACACCAGATATAGCTAAAAACACACTGTTCGGGGTCAACGCTGGCGAACGTTGGCTGCTCGATGACAATGGGTGGTGACATCTGAGCTCTAATTATCCCCGCCAACCATCGATTCTTCTGAACCAATGGGAGGCGGGGGTATGGGTTCGGACTTCGCCACGTGCGCGAAGAATTCCGAACCCTACCCCCGCCGCCCATCGAGCTGCCTGAATCATTGATATCGGCGAGGGTTGGGCTCGGATTTCACCACCGACCGCGGGGCGGCGGGGGGCTGGGTAAAGCTCTGGGCGTGGACGCCTTCGAGCCGGGAAGTGGATAGCGCGTCGCGCCGAAGCGTGGTGGGCCAAAAAGCTGGCGCAAAAGTTCACTATGTCTCCAAAAATCTCGACCGTAAGCACTTCGTGCGGGCACATGCAGCAGCCCAGACACGCGACGTCCTGATTTGTTCAATGCGCGGTCCCTGGAAATCCCGACTATTCTTCCCCGGGACCTGCCTTTCGTCCTGAGTCGTGTTCTGACGGTCCCGAGGCCTGGCGAGGGCCCCCGGAGGCCGAAAATGGTCGAAAACCTCCCGCCGTGCTTTTCTCTTTGGTCGGGCATGTCCTCCTACAGGCGGATTTGGGAAGAAAGAAAAGGAAATGGTCAAATAATCTTGCACAGATATTCAAAAAAGACCACGAGAATTCGTCGCTAGACCATGTCTTTCTAGTCTTGAGTATCCCTCCTGTAGAGGAACATGCCCGACTTAATTATAGGGGATCAAACGGGCTCGCGGAGGGCCGCGAGGTGAGAAGGCAAGGGGGGAACACGCGCGCGCACGCGCACACACACACACACACACACACACACACACCCACACACACACCCACACCCACACCCACACACCCACACCCACACCCACACACACCCACACCCACACCCCCACACCCACCCACCCACCCACCCACCCACCCACCCACCCACCCACACACACACACACACACCCACACACACACACACACACACACGCACACGCACACGCACACGCACAGACACAGACACAGACACAGACACAGACACAGACACAGACACACACACACACTCACACACACACACACACGCGCGCACAAAACACACAAACACACACACACACACGCGCATGCAGCTGCGGAAACGGAAAGCTCGGGCGATAGAAGTCGGACAGACCTACACAAGCACACGCACACACAAACACACTGGAGGCCTGGACATGAGCACCAACACCAACCCAGGGGTTTGCCTCCACAGGGGGAAGACGATCCTAGACTTCGGCGTTAATGATAATCTACCTTGAAGCCAAAACAGTACCACCGTCACCGAGGTCGGGATCTTCTCCCCGCAGTGGAGGCACACCGCCGACATTGGTGCTAGTGTCAACCCCTGGGCCTGCGATGCAACACATATATCGTCGTCGTCGTCGTCGTCGTCGTCGTCGTCGTCGTCGTCGTCGTCGTCGCCGTCGTCGTCGTCGTCGTCGTCGTCGTCGTCGTCGTCGTCGTCGTCGTCGTCGTCGTCGTCGTCGTCGTCGTCTCGGGACCATACCATCTGGGGGGGGGGGGCCCGAGGAATCCTGGGACCATACCATCTGGGGGGCAGGGGGGCCCGAGGAATCCTGGGACCATACCATATGGGGGGGGAGGGGGGGGGGGGGGGGGCCGTGGGCCCGGAGCCCGGGACCACAGATCCTGAGAGGCCCCCGCCGCCCCGAGAAGAGCCTCTGCCGCCCGGGGGCCGCGGCCGCCCCCCCGCTGCGCGGCGGGCCGCCCGCTCCCCGGCCGCCCCGCGCGGCAACCCCTGGGGCCGCGCGCAGGTGGCCTATAGCGCGCCGCGGCCTCCCTCTGCGGGGCTGGGCCCGCGAGGCCCTCGAGGTGAGGGCCGGGGCTCGAGCGGAACAAGTGGGTCCTCGGTGCGTTTTCGCGCTTTTTCGCTCTGTCATCGGTCTGCCTTCTGCTGCGAAACATAGTCAACACGAAAACGACCCGCGGAATCGCCAGGACACCGTGTAGCTCCAGCGCTGGCGCGGATTCTTGGCACCCTCCGGCTGCATGACGACGGTTCCGCTCCGCCGCGGGCGTTGGATCTTACTGTCGCGCGATGCGGGGGAAAGGGCACTGGCAAGAGGAGGATCGAACAAGAGAGGTCCATCCCACCTCCCCACAACGACCCCTCCGGCGCGCTTCTCGCGGGACGCAGATCAGAAGGGCATGCTTGCACAACGCGCCCGTTCTGAAACTGGAGGCGCGCGTCCGAACCGAAAAGGTGGGACAAAAGTCACATTCTGTGTCGCTGCCAAGTGGGATGGCCAGAGAGCGCTCGCCGCCGAGCACGCGGAGATTTCTGAGCGCGCGTGTCGCCCCTGGGTAGCTGGCGAACACACAAACAGTTGGCCAGGGCACGTGACCGATCGTTGTCGACCAGTCGGGCCTTGCCTGCAGCGTCGGGGCCAGGAGGGGCGAGGAAGACCGCCTTGGGTGGCGCCCTGCACGGTCCGCGCACGGTGCAACAGCATCATCCCCCTCAACATTCTTTCTGTTATGAGGGTGGAGGCCTTGCTTGATACGCTTGAGAGGACTCCCCCCTCAGGCTCCCAGCTTCTCCAAACAGATCTGGCCTAGCAAGTGGCACCGGTGACTGGCATACGCTCCGCATCTGGTGCGAAACAATTTTTGGTCTGGTCCAAAACAGCAAAGCTTAACTTGCGCCGACGAACCGACTCGGCACCGCCCAGGCGCCTCAGGGCCGCGGGGGCCCTAGCACAACCCTGCATAGGCCGGGCTTCACTGTCAAAAGAAACTAGACAGCATGTTGCGCACCTCACCCTGCATTCCACCTCGAACTCTTCCCATTCATGCCAGTCGGGCGGTGGCTGCACTCGGGGGCGGCGGGCCTGGCGCGTAAAACGGGTGAGCTCCAGCTTGGGGAAAAGCGGGAGAACGGCACCGAACATCTTTGCCAAAGGGAGGGACCTCTTCACCTGCCTATCGAGGGCCTCCAGGTCGGCTGGGGGCGCCTGTGGGTGGAGATAATGCGCGTGTTTCGCCAAAAGGTCGGCACCCGCACTCGCTAGTGCAAGTCTTCTTTCCTCTGGTGGGAGAGCTTGAATTATCTCCTCAGATCTGCGGGCTGGGGCATGGTGGGCCTCGCCAGCAGCATCAAAGCCTGGTGCCTGCTGGGCGGCCCGGCGGAGTCCCGCAACACATGAGCTTGGGGCCCAGCTGGGCCACGTCCGAAGCATTGTGCAAACGAACGGCCCCCTTGCAATCACTGCATGGCGTGCTCGTTCCAGGCGAACGCACAAACAGTGGCCAGCCCAAGTATGATCAGCGGCTTGCGGGGTCTGGGGAAGTGGGGGCCGACTCGGGGCCATCATCCTGGCCCGAAATTTGTACTCGGGCCCAGGCTGCAGAAGCACAGCTGCGAACGAAGCTCGATTCAAATGTTTCATTGCGCACTGGGTGGCCGACCCATCCGCCACCGCATCGCAGCGCTCGCTTCGCTCAGCAAGCTCCCGGAGGGTCAGCGGCTCGCCGTCGCCGTCTTGGAGGAGGGGGTCCGTCGCCACCGAAGGAGGAGGCAAGGACCCGCCGGGCCGGGCCAACATCAAACTGCTCCAGAACGGATGCCCAGGGGACTCGATGGCTCCGGCTCCCTGAACACTTGCGCCATCTTTCGTCTTGCTGCGCATGGCTGCTATCTCAGGGGCAGCCTGACGCAGCCACTGTCTGTGAAAGAGGGATCCGGGTTAGCCGCAACATGGGCATGCGCCGTCCGACCCATACCCTGAGGCCTGGAGGCGATCGATTTGTCGCCCAAACCCCATGGGGAATAACACGCGCAGACCCAATAGTTGGCTCGCGGCGTCGTTCGCTTCGAACGGAGGAGGGAAAGAACGGGACCGACTGAAACGCGAACGCCGACCAAGGA